AATATAAAAAACAGTTCAAAGATTAGACAAAAGTACAGAAAGGACAAAATTAATAATGATAAAAAGATATGGTTAAATCCAGAAACCAGACCAAAGTGTCAAATGATTTTGCTCCACTGACCCTCAGTAATGCTTTCTTAAGAATGATTGTTTCGCCGGGCTCAGTGGCTCAGCCTGTAATCCCACGCTTTGGGAGGCTGAGGTGAGTGGATTGCCTGAGCCCGAGGGTTCAAGACCCGCCCAGGCAACTTGGCGAGACCTCATCTCTACAATAAATCAAAAAATTAGCCGGGCGTGGTAGCGCGCACCTGTAGTTCCAGCTACTCAGAAGGCTGAGGTGGAAGGATCACCGGAGCCCAGCAGGTCGAGGCTGCGGTGGCCAGGAGCGGCCACTGCATTCCAGTTTGGGAGACAGAGTGAGATTCCAACTTAAAAAAAAAAAAAAAAAGAATGACTGTTTCTAACATCTTTCTAAAAGTTTTTTTTTTTCTTACTTGAAGTACACAGAATTGTTTCATTATTTTTGTTTTTTCACAAAGGACATTCAAGTATCAAAAGTGTCTATGAAATCTCAGATGAAAAACCAGAAAAAGTTGAAAAACTTATGACTTTATTAGTTCTACTCAGAACTACCTCTAATGTATTTTGAAGCCAAAATCTAGGAATGCAGTTACTAAAGTAGCAGTCAGTGAAAGACAAATAGGAGGCTCCCTAGATTGAAAAAAAACTCCTGAAACAAAATTTGGAACATCCTTTTAGATACTACTGCCCCACAAGAGCTGGCAACCCTTAACACCATATTCTTTCATTCATTCACTCACTGAGTTGGAGTCTCTATCACCCAGGCTGGAGCGCAGAGGCACACTCACAGTCACCGGAGCCTCAACCTGCTGGGCACATGTGGTCCTTCTGCCTCAGTCTTCCAAGTAGCTGGAAGTACAGGTGCAAGCCACCCCACCCCACCCTAATTTTCTGATTTATTGTAGAGATGAGGTCTCGCCAAGTTGCCCCGGCTGGTCTTGAACCCGTGGGCTAACACAGTACTCTCACCTCAGCCTCCCAAAATGCTGGGATTATAGGCGTGAGTCACCGTGACTGGCCCTATGTTTTTAGATGAGAAAATACAGTTTACTTAAAAGTAAATTCGAAAAAGAGGAGATTCACCTCCCTAAGGGAGGGAAGGGGGTCAAAGTCAGGAAGCATGGCAACAGCTCAAAGAGCACCTGGCCACACCAGAGTCTAGTAAGGCAACGGCCATATGTTTTTCTTTGAAGAAAATCTTTGGTTTTTATTTTGCTTCAATCTGATTTCATGCATGTAAAAATTTGGGGGTAGAAAGGCTTGAAAGAGGTTTAATCTGTCCTGGCCTCCAACTCCTCACATCTTAGCAGGGACCTAGTACCAAAATCCCTAATCCCATTTTGGGAGATCTTAATTAAACCCATTCCATATGTTAAAAGTCAAGCTCAGAAGAAAACTTAAAAAACAAACAAACAAACAAACAAAACACAAAAATTTCTCAAGTCAAGAGTTTAAGAGTTCCAGGATACTGCTGCTGTAAAGGAAACGTTCTAATCCAATAGCCTCATTTTATAAAGAGGGAAGTGAGTCTCATTTTAAAAGCTTATGAACTCATCTGAAGTAATTAGCTAAACAGCCAAAAGCTTTTCTTTATTTCAAAAACTGTATTTTCAGCAGAGCACTTTAAAAATACATTCTTCCTTATATAAATTATTTTTAAGGAAAAACATTCATTCAACACTTTCTATAAAAACTTATTCTTTAAGGTAAGAATGGACAGAATTATTATAACTAAAGATATGGTTGATATTTAGAATCACCATTATTTTTAAGGTGACTCAAACCCCAAACAAGCTTCAAAATAGCTGATTAAATGCAGTAGATTGTTAGTGTAAAAATAAAGTAAATCCTATAAAACTATAATTTTAAAAATCTACAGAAAATAAAGTTCTACAAATATAATAAACAAATTTCTAGCTCTTCTCCCTAAATAGCCAAGAGTTTTCTTCATTTCCCATAAACAAGACCATCTTCATTACTTTCAGGTTATGAAGTCAGAGATACTGAGCTTCAGGACATCCAGACAGCAGCATCTCTCGTCTCTCTCTTTGCAGACAGTCAGTCTCTCTCTCTCTCTCTCTCTGTCTCTCTCTCCACACACACACACACACACACACACACACACACACTTCTCCTGTGAAATCAAGAATGGTAAGTACAAGTACTGACAGAAAATTTATCAGTTAAATAACCTGCCATCTCACCAATTACTTCAACACCTCAAGGTTTTCATGTTTCAAGATTTTTAACCTTGGAACATTATACAAAAGCAAACAAATCTCCTCTCTCCCAATTTTCCATAGACTAATGGCATACATGGCATTAAAATACACCTCTCAGTAAAGTAAAAATGTACAAAGGAAAAGAAAATATCAAAATAGAAAATAACAGTATCACAAGCATTATCTGTTGCTTGATGTTTATAAAACTTTTTTAGAAGATGGTAATTCTATGACAGAACAATTTTCCTTAGAGCTAGATAAGCTGCTATAAGCTAGCTATTCAACAATAGGAAGAGAGTTGTATTTCCTTGCCATTTCATATAGCAAAATCTATATTACATATCTACATAGCCTTACATAGATTAGGTATGTGTGTATACATTTTACAGACAATACCTTTTGGGTTTCCTTTCAAGGAATAACTGAAACTTCAATTTTGTACTGCTTCTAAAGACCAGAAAAGACAAATTTAATGTATTAAATTCATATGTATTTTCAGTTCTTTAGTACCTTATCAAAAGAGATTTTTTAAATGCTAATTTTTGAGGCATATTTATTTTGGAAGAACGTTTGTTAAGAATAGCTTCATTAAGTCAGTTGAAAGATTTTTTTTTTTCCCTAAATTATTTAATCTTTGGACAGTATAAGAAAAATCTAGTTTGTCACCAACTGTCTAAAAATTCGACAAGTAGCTCCCTCTCCTGGAAAAAAAAGTGAGCTCCTCTCCAAGCTGTAAAACACAGACTTGTACTATTAAGAATGTTTTAAAAAACACATGAAACAAAAATATAGGAATCCACATTTGGACTTTCCTATCAGTATCAATTATACCCCAATACAAGTATAAACAGCTATAAACAGTTTTACAGAAACTTTTACAAATACTAAAAATGTACAATTTACCAGCTAACAAAATATAATGAATATCATGATCTGACTTACTATATAACAACTATTGGATTTGGGTCACAGAAAAATTTTGAGATGCCTTTCATTTTAGTGGTTTTAAACTACCATCTATCTTCAAATACATTGTTCATATTTCTTAACTCACCAAAGCTCAAGCTGTCCTATATAGAAAGTAGCAGCTTTATAAAGATTTCTCATTTAAAATAAGTCTTCTTATTCTTCTTGCTTGTCCATCAGGTTAAAAAAATAATAACATACCAATATGAATGACTGATACTAAAGACTCCAAAATTCTATTTTGCAATATTTTATTAGCTATAAAGTATTAGTACTATTCTTGGGAACTGGACTGTCTAAATTAAAAATACAATTTACAAATAAATGTCACAGTCTACAATATTGATACATGTTTCCTCACAAAAAAACAAACTCATCCTATTGCCCGTCTATTCATCCCCTCAGAGCAACTGTGTCACTACATTTAAAACACAAGAAAACAATTGTGCCTTTTTAGAAAGCTATTTATCGCTAAAGATGAAAACACATAACAAGTGAGGGAAAAGTTCATCAGAAAACAAAATACAAGTAAATTTGACTATCTCAACGATAAAGTAAACTGAAAACGCTGAAAGCTTTAAAAAAATAAAGCCTTCCTGAACAAAGCAGATGTACCTTAGTGTAAACCAAACGCCAAAGTTTCTCAAATCCAGATGCCATGACTGTGCTTAGAAAGTCCTAAATGTTCTTAAGTTATTAGTTCTAGTATTAGTTGTTACTAATATATCACTGCTCAGAATTATCTGAGAAGAATCTTTCAACAGAGCTGCCAGTATTTTAAATGTAGGAAATGTACATTGCTACGAAAGCACCTCACTATATTTTTTGGGTCCCAGAGAACTTGACAGACCACATATTTCAGCAAACTACTAACGCTATCTCCATGAACCAACCTTGCTCATATAAACAATAAGATTTCTATTTCTTAAATTGAAAAATAGCTTAAATGAAAAGTTTCAAGTGTGTATAGATCACAAATATGGGCTGAACCTTTAGAAGACTGGTTTCGAAACTCCTGAATAATTTCTTCGAGGGAAGTTTACCCAGTCGTAAGCCCCATTCACTGTTAATAAGCACAACAGTATTTAACATACAATCTGTACTTTAAAATTAATACATATCGTATGATGTCTTACAATTTACTAAGACTCACACTAAAGTTTTGATTGAGGCAAAATGTGTGTTAAAATTAATTTGGCTGAACGCATCAAATAAGGCTGGTTTCTTTTAGCAGAGTAAAACCTGAAAAAAGAAAATAATATAAATACCTACAGTTTCCTATCCATGCACTTTGGAAAAACCGTGCAAACCCTCCAGTCATCACTGACATTCTTAGTAGTGAAGTACACCAAAATTACTCGTGAATTTTAAGTCATTCCCTCACCCCCTTGTATTTGAAACACAGCAAATCTGGCATGGAAAAGGAGCACGGTAACTTTTCCTGCACTCAGAAGGAGGGAACGCAACCCCACAGTCGCAACCACCGTCCAAGGGCGCCGCACCGAAGCCGGGTGGCAACGTGTAGAAAAAGGCAAACACTACAAAGGCATACACAGTGTTTTTGTTTTTCGGTCACCAGGCAAAAGATTCCATCCTGTGCCTCTAAAGGGCACATTTCCTTTCAAAATACAGTCGGAAGAGGACAGGCAACGCCGTGAGGCCGGAGGCAAGACTCTCGCGCCCCTGCTTCGCGCCCCGGCCTAACACTTCATCTTCCTTCAGCCCGATCGCCAGATGAACAGGGCAGGTCACAGGATCGGGATGAAAATGTCCGTCCCGGCCTGAAGTCCTCCCAGCCCCAAGCCCGGCGCTGCCTTACTTTTTCCCGCTCCTCGGATTCCGATCCCACCCAAAGTTCGGCGCCAGGACTAACCCCACCCTGACCGCCGTCCCGTTCCCCGACCCCAGCGCCCCCGACTTGCCCCCAAATCGGCTGCCTGAACGACCGCCGGGCAAAGGCGCCGGCAAAACAAAGGCAGACTCTGAGGCCGAAGGGAGGCCCGCCGCGGGGCCCGGCGCAGGGAAGGGCGACCGCGCGGAGAGCGCTCGGAAAGAACGACGGCAGGTCCGAGGGCTGCCGACCCGCCGGCGCCGGCGCCGCGGACGGGCGAGCCCCGG